TTGCCAGCACATTGAAACATCTTTGGCTTCTATTAATTAAAGGTTTTGTGCATGAAACACGGCTAAAACTATCAGGAAGCTCTCATATTTTGTTGAGGCTTTAAACAGGATCAATTGGACCAGATCTCCACCCTAAAAAAATACTTTTCCCCAATGTATTACAGTGCCAATTCTGAAGAAGGCAAAATCAAAATGAACTGGTAAATTACAAGAACACACATGCACACACTCCCTTCTAACCTTGCTGGAGCAGGTGATTGGACTAGAATAGATATCTCATTATCTTTCTCCTCCCTCGCTCCTTCTTTATTTCTTTTTCTTTCTGTCCCTTCCTTCCATTCCCCCCTCTTTCTTTGTCCCTTTTTCTTTCTTTCCCTTTTCCCTTTCTCTTCTTCCTTCTCTCTTTCCTCTCTCTTTCCCTCTCTCAGGCTCACCCCATTGACTTCATGCACAGCTCCGTTCGGACTTGCTTGGGCAGGTTCCTCCGGTGCAAGGGGCTCAATGGGGTGGAACACGGCGGCGGGAGGATGTTTGAAAAGGAGATCAAAGCCAGAGTGGCTTTGCTCTCCTTTCCCAACGCTGAGTTCGTGGGCGGAGCTCCTTGCACCAGAGCGTGCAAGTCAATGGGATGATCCTGCGGGGCCTTGCCTCGAACGCGGCGGCGGCGGCAGTATTTTTTCTCACCCCTGAATTGTGCCCTGCCGCTCACCTCCAGCACCCCCCCCCTGCTGGCCCCCTTGCCTCTCAGCGCCCCCCTAAGGCATCCCACCGCCCCCCAGGGGGTGGTACTGCCCACTTTGGGAACCACTGATCTAAATAGTTTTGAATTTTGGAAAAAATGGCTCCTGGAGTCTAGTTGTCTTATTTGCAAATAGATGGGTAAAAATTATATTTAAATTTTGTACCAATCTACTTGGAAATATGACAATTCAGATGAGCAAACTTTGGTAAGGATTGCTTATGAATAGTCCATTTTTTGCTAAAATCTAAAAATAACTTCTGTAGGGATTTCTCTTATTGTAGTAATCCACACTGAATTTTAATTCTACTCTTTAATGACAAACTACCTATAAATACTATAACAAAGTCATTTCAGAGCATAACTGATTGTGGCATAACAATATAGAATGTATTACCTATAGGAGCTTCCATGACGAAAACTCTGCCCACAAATGCTACATAGATGTGGTTTTTCTCCACTGTGAATTCTCAAATGCTCTTTTAAAGTTGTTCTGTAAGGAAAAAATTCAGATATGAGAAAATTATTTCCTAATCCTTTTACAATAATATAATTATACATTTCAATGTAATGCATTTAAAATGGCCACAGTCCAATTTTCTGCAAAGTGCAACTGACATCTATTAATAATGGACAAACTGTTACCAGATGCTGTTAATCCATTGCCAATGATAACTGACAGCTGGGTTTGGCTTTTTTCGGAAATACATGTATGGTTCTGGCATTTCTGCCAGCATAGCATGTAGCACCCAGGACATTCTAAAAGTTTTAGTGCAATACTTTGGGATACCATGTACTGTATATCCAATCTCTGTAGAAGTATATGCCTTAGTGAAGATAAGTATTTTTATAATTTTTTAAAAAGTTATAAGATTTTGTCATTTTATTTGGTGTATAGATTACATTTTAATTTTAAAAATCAATCTGTTGTTCAATTCCATTCCTAATAAAATCACTGTTCATATTGATAGTACAGGGGAAGTCAGTTATCAGTTTAAGTCATAAGGAGTTACAAAGTTGAGAATTCTGCTATGCTATATAGTTAAATATGTAAATACACAGCATATAAAATAAACTAAGTAAGTGTGCCAATAGCACATAAAATGTCTGACAAGAGAAAGAATGCCTATGCCTGCCCATATTCTTGTCTACAGCTACTGAGAATCAAGCCTTTGCTGATCTGCACAGTCTTTATTTGGGTTCTGTTTCTTAGCCTTTCTTAGTATGTACTAATAGTCAAGTCTCAAATGCCTATCTTTATTAAGTGGGTTAAACTTTCATTACAAAGAAGAAAATGATTATTTAGATAGCACTTCCCAAAATAAAATGCATCTTTCTTCAGGATCATTCTGCAGTTGTATAATCCCAGAAGATGTTGCTGACATATTATTAATGAGTTTCTGAACTGCAAAGCAGTTTTTCTTTTTTAATTCAAAGTGCTGTACAATACTCATTTTATCTAACCTAAACAGCAGGAAAAAAAACAAAAAAAATCACTGTTACAAATATGGAGAGCCAGTTTGGTGTAGTAAGTGCTGGACTATAACTCTGGTCTTCCCTTCGGCATAGAAACTGGCTGGGTGATTTCAAGCAGTCTCTTTTTTAGCCCAACCTATCTCAAAGGTCGTTGTGAAGATCACAGGAGAAAGGAGCATTATGAATTCTGCCTTCAGTTATACAAAATAAATGAGATTTGTACATTGAATAAAAACATACACCTGAAACACTAAAATTCAATGGAGTTTCCCTCAGCTCAGTAGATACAAATGCTGATTGATGAGTAAAGACTTGGGAAGTAAATGGAATGGAATATTCTGAGAAACATATAGGTGCTAATTAGCATCAACAGTTCTCTATTATACAATTACATTGTTCAATTGCCTTTACAATGTTTTTTTATAATATTGGTGAATTCATGGATCTGCTTTCTGTTTAATTTATATAAAACATAGCATGTACTAAGCATACCTTTCTCTAACTGATTTTCCACAAATAAAGCAAGTCCATTTTCTCTTTCCTCCATGAGTGCATTCGATATGGCGCTTCAGATTTCCAGTGTCATTAAACTGACGACCACAAATATCACATGGAAAAGGTCCTAAAAAGACACAGAGATTCAATTTTACAGTTAAGCAACTAGCAAGTGATTTGAATAATTAATAAATACATATTTTGGAACACAAAAATACAAAACTGAACAAAATACTTTCTTCATTTTGAAAAACCTAGCTACAAGCATATTAATCTTCCATTTTTAAGCAGTCCATCATTTCTTCCCCAGAAGGTGCTAATGGTAATTCTGTCACAATAAATTAGTTTACCAAAACTTAACTACCAAAAAGGAAGATATCTTGTACAGCATTTTTTGCATTCTGTTTTTTTTGTAAAACTTAAACACAAATGCATTGATATTACATTTTTATGGACAAGTTGGTAAGCCATTAAATTATGGTGTCATAACTACCAATAGTGACTCCCTGGACCAGTTTATCTATGAATTGTCTGCCATGTAATTGTTTTCTGTATTTTTGCCAATATCTAAAACTCTAGGTCTAACATAGCTAAAGTGGGGTGATCTGTCCATAAGGTTTTAAAATTTGATTGTTTGACTCAAATAATTGTTTAGCATTGTATTAGTAAAAACAGCCACGCTGCCTCTTGAAGTATTCTTGGACAGAAGAAAGCAACTGTTTTAACAGATGTTTATTAAATGAACAATTTCCCTCAAAATGTACCAAATTACCAATAGTGACTTGCAGAAAAGAAGTGTCAGATTGAAAATAGCTCTTGAAAAGCAGAGCCATGATTTATCTTTATAAAATCCATTTACCCTTAAACAAAATTAGAAACACAGTAGCTATTCATGCACTGGGTAAATGGCCATTTTCTTAACTATATCTGAAAAAGGAAAACAGCCCTTAAGCTTCACAATGCAAATCCCATATTCTTTTATTCAATTCTGCAATTCTTCAATTCAAAGGCCCAGTAGATTTACCAAACTGCAGAATGCATGATGGTACTTTCCAATACCTTTTGCCTCAAAAATATCAAAATCCTGTTGGAATGCAGAGATTATATCAGAGGCTGGATCTGACCCGCGTGGTGCTTAAATTCGGCCCATGGGGCCAGCCTGGAAATATCAAAGGTGGTGCCTCTGGGGGCTAAAACGGGCTTTGTGCGCCCCCGTACTTCGTTTTCACCTTCCATGGCCTCCTGCGGCACTCTGCCAGCCAAAAACAGCCCAAAAGTGGCCTGAAAAATGGGCCTGAAAATGGCCGGCAGGGTGCTTCATGAGGCATCCATCCCACCCCTTCCGTCAGCCCATAGGGAACTACAATATTGATCCGACCCTTGAAGAAATCCAGTTTCCCATCTCTGGTTTATATTTTGCTTTTCGAACATTACCATTCTTGAAACAGGTATTCTAGTACCATTATGAATGGATTACAATAAAGAAAAAATTGGAAATAGATATCTCCTCTTCCGTAGCCTGTTGAATCCAATCAAATCTGCTGTTTCCATGTCAACATCACCACCACAGCTTTTACAGCTCAAAAAGCAAGGAGAGGGAAAAATGTTAGGAAGTGTAGTTATAACTTCCATGTTACATGTATTGTAGAAGCCCAATAACTCGAAGTCCTTTGCTGTTGTTAGAGAGGTACTTCAAAAAATAAATGTCATCTAATCTTTCTATTTCAAGGGTAATACAGTTGTGCTGATACAATAAATAGAACTGCAACAATTTTTTTTCCTAACAGATTTTAGTGACAAAATTAACAAAAAAATTGTCAATGTTATTTTATCTGTCTGATTATTCAGTAAATGCACAAATTTGTTACCTGCAACTAAACAAATAATAAAATGTAAACTGGTAAATGTTTCATATGTTACTTTAGTTCTCAGCAACAAAGAAAATGGTTTAAAAGAACATTTTTAATCATTTTTGTACAATGTCTAAAAGTTTACTGTTTCCAAGAAAACTTGGGAAAATAATATGTCCAAAGATTTAGTAGCTCACAAAGCTACATTTTTTAAAAAAATAAACAGGGAGTGACCCTGATAACTTTCCCTACCTCTCTTCTGTTGTTGGTGTCAGCGTTCTAACTAACAAACTCCAAACCAATAAACTCTGAGACAAGGCTGACAGGTGGGCTTTTTTTTTTTTTTTTGCATTTTTCAGAATTCACTGAAAAATAGTTTTTATAATTTTAAGCTAGTGTTAGAAACAAGTAATTGGTCAACTCAATGGAAAATTGGCCTTCCACTAACTTCAGAATGAAGTGGTGAAATCAAATCAAATCAAATAGATAGGTTGAAGACACCCATCCTGTAAATCCCTAATTGTAACTAGATTAACTGAAATTTCTTGGTTGTTTTTTTTCCCAAACAGCCTCTAAATAAGGATTCATTTAATTAATTTGTCCAAAATGTGAACCTCATCTTCAAACAGTTTAAGGAATTGTTCAAACACTGTGAATAGAGATTTGGAAAATTGGTATACAGAATTCAATTCAGCTAATGAATTAAAAACATATGTGCACTGAATATTTTCTTACCTAAATGGAACTTTTCTTGATGCTTCAATCTTGTAAAGCGGGATTTAAAATGCTCTTCACAATATGTACATTTGAAAGGTTTATTCTGTGTGTGAAGAATTCTGTGTTCTTCTAAGTGAGGTCTTCGTGTGAAAGACTTATTGCAAATCTATAGCAACAACAATATGCAATGATTAAGTAAAATACACAACTTTGAGCTCCCTGAAGAAAGTCAATTTATCTGTGAAAATATATACACAAACCGAATCTTATTGCTCAAAGGAATGAATTATAAATAAGCATTTGCATTTGCAAATGAGCTGAGAATTTTAGGTATCAGAATATACTCAAAAATGGGTTTGGCTTATCCAAGGATAGGCTTATCCACAGGTATATTTTTAATAGTACTTATAATTCTTCTACATTCTCACATGAATCTATCTTTAATAAGTTGACTCTCAAATATTTTAACCACAATATAATGAAAAGTGTGGATTGGCTTATCCATAGATAGTGTATTTTTCATAATAGTTTGGTTAAAAAATTGAGTGTTGGCTTATCTACTGATAAGTGTATATGTGAATACATATGGTAGCTTTCTGGAAATTACTGTACTGTGCAATTGCATAGTTATGACTATTTGCTTCTCTGTTAATCTTGTAATTTCAAGTTTTATCGTAACTAGCATATATGGTGATTTACTCAGCATGCATTGCTACATACTATTTTCTCCACCAAAGTTACCTTATTAAACCATTGACCAAAAAAGATCATGCATCAATAAGCCATAAAACCATATTACGGTACTTTTAATTTTTAATATCCTGAACCAACTGCATCATGCACTATTTACACACCAAAGCACACAATGAAATATAGGATTTCCCATTTATCCCTAATATTATAATTTAGTAACTTTAGCATAAATTGTTTTAGGCACTTATCACTTATCAGGTCAATGTACTCAAACAACATCTGCATATTACTTTCACAGCATAAAAACAGCAACATAACCAAGAGCATGGAGAAAAGCTTTTGTCCATGCTCTGGAATTTCAGAAATTCCTTTCCTACTGCAGCTCCTTGACAAACATTCTAAAACAATTTACAATAATTCTAGGTAGCAGTTAAAATAGCAAATTCAAAAACTTCAGTAAATAAATGCACAGCCTCTGATCTGGATTCAAGTCACAGATTTTTAAAAAATAAGTCAGGGGTATCAAATAATTTCAATTAAACCAAAATCATACTTACTTCACATTTCCATCCTTCGCTTTTTTTCTTCCTGGTAGGCAGAAACTCTTGTACATTTTCAGGATGAAATCTGAGGAGGAAATCTACTAAGACATTATTTATTTAATAAATATAACACAACAAGCAAATCACTAGTTTGCATTTTGTTACTGCTTGCTGGCCTGGTTGTATTAATAACATAAAGAAATATTATTCTGTACTGCATATAAAAAAGCAAGATATTTGAAGTTTATTCTATATTACTGTTTGAAAAGTTATATGGGTCAGCACAAATATTAACTGTTTTTTAATTAATTAAGTCATTCTCTTTAAGCACTTTTTGCCCCAATTTACTTAAACCACCTTTCAATATTCACCAAACAGAATAGCAGGGCATATATTAAAGCAGAGGTCTCCAACCTCGGCAACTTTAAGACTTGTGGACTTCAACTCCCAGAATTCTTCAACTTTACTGGCTGAGGAATTTTGGGAGCTAAAGTCCACAAGTTGCTGAGGTTGGAGACTCCTGCATTAAAGAGAATATTTAATGCTACTGAACATACTGATATCTCACTTCACATGTGTATGTTTGGTGAACAGCATATATCCAGATTTGATTCAAGATGACTATACTACAGATATGCTACTTTATAAAATTTTATCCAGCCTGAGGTCCTCCAGATTTTCATCATCTCCAAGCAGGATATGATTGGGAAGGGCTCATGTATGTTATGCATGCTTTTAACATCCTACACATTTAAATCGCCAACATGATCGCCAACGTCCAATGATGGATATGACATAAGAAAGAAGACATATTTAAAATAAGTCGCCATGTATTTAATTGGACTATATTTAATTTTCTGCAGCATACAGTTTTATAATTTTATAATAAAAGGAAATCAAAAGATCATGCTATATTATCCAAAATGCAGTATGACTCAATGACACTTGCCTTTTTTTATGCTTTATCAGGGTCTTTTTGGTGGCATGTAGTTTGTTACAATATGAACATTTGTGCTCCTTTTTATGAAATTCCATTTCACTGCTGTGTTTTTTTCTGTGTACTGTTAAGTTAGATTTGGTTGAATAACGCTGCTGGCAAATATCACACTCAAAAGGCTTTTCACCCGTATGTACTCGAGCATGGCTTTCAAATTTTCCTACAAAATAAAATATATTTTAAAATGAAAAACAGCTGATAAATATTAACCTCTAATATTATCACAATAATAGTATGTGCTGTATGAAGTCTGTAAGAAAGTTTTAACACAGATTATTTTGTAATGTGTTATTTTTTAAATAAGCCTTTCTAATTACTGGTGGAACATCATGTTTTTTCATGTAGCAGAACTTACAAGTGATAGGAATGATGGTATATAACTGCCATCCTACTGCATCATTTAACACTAGCTCTCAATCTATACAAATGAAATTTATATAAAGGGTGTAAATTGTGTAAAAGCACATTATTTTCATCTTTAGCAACGGAACTGTCCTTGTCTTACAACAAGTTGCTAAAGGGTTGGGATTCTTTTTCTCACTAATTTTACACATTATTTTCAATTCCTATTCCTATAGTCCTGGAACACAAAGCAACTAAGGATTAAAAAAGTTCTGAATATGATTCTATAAACATGTCGAGAACTATACTAAGATTTAACTTAACTTTAAATAAACTAAGATTCTAAGCCCATACTACAAAATGATAAGCTAATGTAACTTTATTTTTATCTTGAATTGTTCAGATGTTTGATCATCCATAGAATGCAGGTTGGTTAGTCTTCATGTGTGTCTTTACACTTCATATTCCAGATACATGAACTTTGGCAGCCATAAAAGGCATCTTCAAATTATTTCATGTTTTTTATTGTTCAAAAATGTTTTTAATTGTAACATATTTTTGGATTGTTAAGCTGCCCAGAGTTATTGAGATAGGCAGTTATAAAAATTAAATTAAAAATATATCCTTCTATTGAACTGCAAGCCTAAAATTGCATATTGGGCAAAAGGGTATCTAGAATCAGGACTTGATTTTTCTTCTCTAAGAGATGGCTATGATGCTGTTGATAAAGTAATAAATTACTGTAAACCAATTTAAACCAATTATCCAAGTTACCACACGCCAGTCAAGGAGCAATAATTTAAAGGGCAGGCAGGCCGATAATCTGTTGGCTTTCCAGATGCTGTTGAATTGTAGATCCCAACAATCCGTTAGTACAACTGATGGTGTACTACAATTCAGTAGTACAACAGCCAAAAATTTCTACAACTAAATGCTACCAAATATATGCAAGTTTGCTGCAGTGTTTGAAATGAACTATATGCATTTTTCATTGCCTGGAATTTATATAACAGCGAAGCCAATTTGCTGTTTATTGAATGAACATTAGGTTTCACAATATGTAGAATTTAGTATTGCTTATAGTGTATATCACAATAATATATTTTCACAACCATAGGGACACACTCCTACATTGGTTGAAGGCCCAAAACAACACAGGTAGAATTTGAGTAGAGATGAAACATTTAAAGGGGGGGGGGGGACTTTTTGTCTATATTTCTGAGGTCTAATTTAACATTACTTATTAATCTGAATACTGTTTGCCTGCAACTTGGGTGTATGCATGAGCGCATGCACAGTGTTCTTGAAATCCAGTTGTAGGCAGAAGTACAGCAGTGTAGATACCTTGCAGTTCATTTTTATTTTACAATAAACTTGTTAATAATGCCCAATGAAGTGATTCATTTAGGTCAGGACAACTATACAGATGTGGTCATTAAATAACCCAATTTCTGTGTTTCATTCTGTTGATTTAAGGATATAATGAAGCATTTATTTTTTACAAGGGATGCCTAAAGTTTTGCATGTATTGTTAAGTACACTATGGATATAATTAAGATCTAAACAACAATCACAATTCTATACATTGAATCTGACCCCGGATGTTAACCCAAGATTGAAAATGACTTTTTGATTGCTTTTAAACCTATCACAGCCACCCTGCAAAGCTAAAAGACAAACCATATTCTGATTTACCTGGTCGATCAAATGTTTTATCACACTTAGGACACTGCAAACATTTTTTGCTGCTGTTCTGAAGAATATGTGGAATACATGTGGAAAGATTATCTTCAGAAATATTTCCTGCTGCACCATCTGGCTCATGAACCTCTCCACATTCTTTTTCACTATGTTGTTCAGACTCTGTATCATCTCCCAAAGTGTCCTCTTCCTGCCCATCAGTGTTGTATTCACTTCCACTGTCTTCAGATTCATTGCTCTCCTGACTAGGAACAATTGTATCTAAATTGGTTTCTGATGCATTACCACTTTCATTGTCACTCTGATCAAACTTGGCTAGGCATTTACGATTTCGCATTGATCGTCTAGTAGAAATTACTGACTTCTCAACCATTTTTCGCCCATGTTCTTTTTCTCGTGCAGAAGATTTGTGTGCTTTGGACAAATGATTTTCTAATGATTTCTTGTAACAAAAATTACGATTGCATAAAGTGCATTGATGATTGGTGGCTATTTTAGATGTTTGTTCAGTTGTCTGTTCGACCTGAGATGGGTTTTTTGTTTTCTCTTCAGATTGTGAAATGGAAACATTTTCACTATTTAACAATTTAACTGCATCAATAATATCTAAAAATTTTGCTGCTTCTAAAATTAAAGGTATTTCATTTTTATTTAAGAAAAACTGTGATGTGTAAAGAAACTCAAGCAGATGATGGAAAACTGAATGTGTTACATGATCCAAGGTAATAACATTTGTATTTGGATTTTTGCTCAAATAAGCATGAAAGTAACTGCTCCCAACAGCAACTACTACTTTATGGGAGCTAAATTCTTTTCCATCAACAATTATAAGAAGATCACAAAAAGAAGGCTGCTTCCGTCGATCATCATTTAAATATTTAAGTAGATTTTTATTGTATTGCAAAGAAGTTAAAAGCTTTCTTTGATCAGGCAGCAGAGAAAGTTCTTTGGAATGTATGAGCTGGTCTGCAGTAGCTACTTCTGCAGAATCAACATGAGCTTCCTGTTCAGAATCTGTTACAGGAATCTTATCAGTTTGCTCCCTTCGGTGACCAAGATGTATTTTGTCATCTACATTTACATTAAGCCTTCTTTTCTTCTTCATTGCAATTGTGCCACGTTAAAATCAGAACTGTTATAAATAAGCCAAACTTTTCCAAACAAATAGTTGCTTCAGTGATACTTGAAGTTATGACCTGCAAATGGATCAAATAATTTTCTTTGAAACCAATGAAAAAATACTAGATTCATTCCTTTTTTTAACACCAGTTAATTTACTTCCACATTTGGTGAGGTCCTAAGAATTGGCACCCATCCTCTTTGTAGAAAGCAAAAATTCATTTTGAATTGAACCAAAACATTCAAGTCACATGCATGTTATTGAATTGTAAATAGTACTTATTCCTTTACTTATTAACAGAAATAATCGGGAAAATAGCCAGGAAAAGCTATTGTACCAGGAAGCATTTAGATCTGTCCCCAGCTGCATTATCTCTTTAGAATGTTACCACTAGTAATGTTACCCAAAGAGACATAGATTAAAAAAAGTTGTAATTATTCTTACCGAATTGCTCTTGCTCATCTTTAAGCAAAGCAGGGGATAATGCAGCCATACTACTACTATGTACAGGGAAAACAACACAGATACCTCTGCATATTTATTTTTATTTATTTAATATTTAAATTTTAATATTTGTGCGCCATTCATGTCATCAGAGATGATTCTGGGCTGCTTAAAAATATTAAAACAGTAGGACAATAAATAAAAACAATAGATACTATGAAAAGGTAGGGAGGAGGGGAACATGAAGCACATGGGGAGAGGTGGGGTTTTTCTCCAAAATGGGATACCCTGCTGGGGACCCAGGTCAACTGGCAGAACCAGGTCTTCAGGCTCTTGTGGAAGATCAAAAGAGTGGATGCAGATCTAACCTTGGAGTGTATGATGTTCCAAAGGCAGGAGTCATAGGAGAAAAGGCTCTTCTCCTAGACCTCATCAGTCAAAAATCCTTGACTAGTGGGGTCCGCAGCCTGTCTGCTCTACTGGTACTGGTAGGGCAAGCCAATTGGGGTAGGATGGCTCTTCAGAAAACTTGGGCCGAATCATGAAGGGCTTTAAAGGTGATAACCAACCTGCTGAATTGCATCTGGAAGCAAGCCGGCAGCCAATGTCACTGGAACAGCAGTGTAACATGGGCCACCTTAGGGGCCCCAAGAACTTTCTGTCATGCCTCATCCTGCACTAATTGTACCTTCTAAATCAGGGGTGGGCAAACTACGGCCCGCGGGCCACATCCGGCCCGTTGGTCTTTTTAATCCGGCCCGCCGAAGATTGGTACAGAATTAAGGTTTGATGTGAATGATTGAATGATTGCATTCATTTGATTTTGACTTGTAATGACAGGCATTTCGACACCAGGTGACGCATTAGGCGCAGTGACTTGATTTTGCGGAGATTTTGCAGTTTTTTTATATGTATCGTATCTTGTGCTGACCCGGCCCGTCTGTCAAATTTTAAAAGTCAATGAGGCCCCTGAGCCAAAAAGTTTGCCCACCCCTGTTCTAAATACTCTTCAAGGGAAGCCCCATGTAGAATGCATTGAAATAGTCTAGACATGATATGACCAGGGCTTGAATGCACAAAGATATTTATATTTATTCACTGTAGATTAAACAGTTGATCACTTAAAAAGCAGTCATCTCTAATGTAGTCACTCACTGATCCGTTTAAATAGTTATAATTGCTCAAGACAGATACAAATGAGTATATGACTTAATTCTAATCCTTTTTCTTGTACTTAAAAATTAAAATATGCAAGCATATTGAAATAGAGTGCATGGATTTTCCACCGATAGAAAGTTGTAAGAGAGCTAATAAGCAATAACTATGAATAGTACGGCATCACACATCTTGCTAAACTATGATTTAATACATATTAAATTATTAATTCACCCGTTAGCGGGTTTACGTCTCATCAAACAAATCAATCCAGATTTCTCCCTTGAGACACAAATTACCAGGGTTAAATTATTTTACTTTGTACACATTACATGAAGATCTAACTCTCTGGAGAAGACTCTAATGCTGGGAAAGATGGAAGAAAAGACAAAAAGATGACTAGCAACAACATGGATGAACTCAACTGAAGTGACAATGAGTTTATCTTTGGAAAACCTGAAATACCTAGTTAAGAACAGATCATGGATAAAATCTGTGTGTTTGCTAAGAGTTGCAATGATTTGATGGCCCATAAAAATAATATCAAAGTAATAACTAAGATTTACAAACAAGCGCTGGGTTCACACAACCCAGAAGCCAGGACCAAAGAAACTACCTTATAATTTAGTGTGTCATGTGAACCAACTTAGTCCTTCCTTATAAGGAAGGCTCTGTATAAAAACAGTTGTCTTCCCCCACTCCCTAAGCTGCAATTGTTATTTTCTCCATTCAGGTTCTTTCTCTGCAGGAAAGATCTGGTTCACTGGATGCTGTCCAGGGAAAACTCAAGATAGCAAGTGAAATGATAAAGTTTGCTCTTTTCACAACCCAGTCTAGATGTTGTATAGCTGGTGAAAACAGGTAACTAGTTGGGGGAATGTGGCTGCTTCTGTGACTTGATCTATCCACTCACAGAGACAGGAGGTAATATTAGCCACCTCCCTCTTTTGCTTAAATGTTATTGGTCTAGGTCAAGGGTCTTTGAAGTTGACAGCTTTAAGACTTGTGGACTTCAACTCCCAGAATTCCTGAGCTAACATGACTGGAGGAGGAATTCTGGGAGTTGAAGTCCACAAGTCTTAAAGCTGTCAGTTTTGAAGACCCCTGCTCTAGGTGAGTACTACCCAGACAACATGTCACCATGACTGCTCAACTGTTATTATTATCTGCCCCTCACAGAACTGCTCTTTTTTGCCTCTTCAGTTTTTTATCTGCTAATGCCTTTTGTCTGTTTGCATGATTCTGGAGCCACATAAAAGGAATTGGAACATGTTCACCAGCATCCTCACCCAAAATATTATTGGTCCTATCCTTCCTGCTATGCTTAGATGAGCAAGAGAGATGTGATAGGTGGCCTTAAACCAGGAGTCTCCAAACTTCAACTCCCAGAATTGCCCAGCCAGCATGACTAGTTGAAGTCCACAAATCTTAACTGTTGCCAAGTTTGGGGACTCCTGCCTTGAACCAGCCTTATCTGCAAATAGCTTTCTTTCAGTGGGTGATGAACATAACAACCCGGCCAATTGTCACATTATTAGAGCAAGGAGCAGATCAGAGAGGAAGCCACTTCCATCACAGTCCTCTAGTCTAGGAAACACCAAAAAAAAAATAGGCAAGCGGGACTGTTTTTAAGTTTTTATCCCTCCTAGGCCTAACCCTTCCTTCTATTGTGCTAGTAAGAGATTGAGCAAGGAGAAAGGCGGCAGGAGCGTAAAAACATTTTGTTTAGCCTGCATACCAATGCAACACAACGGAGAGGGAAGGAAGCGAGGGGAACGAGTTTCAGGGGACTTCCACAAGGAAGGAACCCTCTCCCAACCCTCTTCATCGCTGCTTCCCGGCCTCTGTGGCAGGGTGGGCGGCGGAAGAAATTGTTCTTTGCGGCCAGTTGCTTTCCCTTTCTCAACGAGGTAGTGACAGTGCCTCTTTTCAACCCCTCTCCTCCAACAGCCTTTAACAATGATCAGGCTGATCAAACTAGGTTTAAATTGAGATCTTAACAGGCCAGGCTCGCTCAGAAGCGGCAAGCAAACTAAAGGCGAGCCCCAGGCACGCCGAACCCCCTTCCACCGGGATGGCGAGACTAAAAGTGCGCCCCTCGGAAACCCCCTGAACCCACCCAACGAGGGGAGGAGCCTCTTACTTACCTTCCTCCCCTCGCCGAGGAAAGGGGCAAATAACGGTCCCAGGCACGCGCTCTCGGGAAACACGCTTCTTCCCCATTTGCCGTCGCCAAGCCGGCCTCCCAGTTCCGAAAGGCAGTTGTGCCCCCCCCCAAAAGAAATAAAATTTACACTTCCCCCCTCAAAAACAAAAAAGAAAAAAAGAAAAGAAACCCCCCCCCGTCGCGCCCCGTTATCCCCCCTCAGGTTTCGCCCTCACTTCCGGGTTCCATGCGGGCGGGGAGGGGGAAGAGAGGGTGTGTGTAAAGGTGACGTCACTCAGGCCGAGTTTTTGACAGGAAGCTGGGCAGGTTTGTCGTTCCGGCTCTATGGCACGTGGGTGGAAAAACGAGGCGGAACAAGAGGAAAAGCGAGGGGTGGTGACTACGCGGGGAGAGGTTTCTCTTCACTTTGCGGCTCCCAATGGGCGTTTGCGGGCTGTTCATTGCAAAACTGCGAGCCACTCCAGAGACGTGTAAATACAACGGTGCCCAACCTTTCCGACTTTGCGGACCGGCGACGGCCAGCAGTGGCGGGGTGGCGTGGGATACGGGTAGATGGGAGAGGGTTCTGCGCAGACAGCGGGCGAGGGCGCCCGCAGCTCAGTTTGCGCAAATGGAGCTGCAAACGCGCTGGCTCGACCTTTCGCGGCCCTGTTCCGAAAGGACCGCGGTCCCCGCGACCCCTGATTTATGCTCACAATAAATGGTATTTTTGTGTTAAGTCACAGTTAAATTGGCCTTTTGACAAGATAAGTAATGGCTTCTATTCTCTACTCTCATAAATTTCTCTGATTCAAAGAGAACCCAGTTTTTTTTTTTTTAAGTGAGGGGCCAAACAGATCTGAGCACTGATTCCAAATCACCACGAACATTTCCAAGGTTTGTTTATTTACTAACGTAAATAAAATTTCGGGAGGCTTTCAAGAAAAAGGATCTTTTTCTAGACGGCGTTGGTGGCTCTTCACTGGCAATGGCTAGGAAAAAAACCTTTCTGAACTTAGTTCGGGCTGCTACTGCAGCGTAACGTCGAACCTCGCCTCTGGAGCAGAAGGCGGACTTGAGCGGAATAAACAGCAGAAAAAAATTATGTCTGTGGAGAGTCTCAGTCATTCAGGTCGTGGTTGTCCCAAAGGTGCTTTTTCAAGAGGCAACTGGACTTTCTGATGTCATCCAAGAAGTTGCTGAAGAACGAGAGGTGAAGAGGCTTCTTGGATGAGAAGCGAAACGTCTTCAAAGAAACACCAGAAAGTCCAGTTGCCTCTTGGGGGAAAAAAAAAAAAAGCTCCATTGGGACAACCGAAAGAAGACAATTCATTTTCTCAAGAGTCGCTTTTAAATTGAGCGCTCGCTTGGTAATTAGCGCGTCACGTGAAGACATCCCCAGCATTGGTCTGGGGGAAAAGGTTTGAAATGAGGAGGAAAAAAACAAAACAAATCAAAACCAAACGGCTCAAGCGATTGGACGTATCTTTGTTCAGAGCCGCTTGGCGATTGGAGGAAAATCTTACGTGCGAACTGGCTTGCGTTTTTTTTTTTTTGTCAAGCCCCCTGATTGGCGGAGGCTGCGAGTTTAAATTCTCTAAGCGGCAGTTGCGGGTTCGATTTTTTTTTTCTTTTTGAGGGGAGGGAATTTCGGATGGGCGAAGGCGCTTCTGGTTGTCAACGGGAGAGGTTGGTGAGGATCGTTTCCTCCCCCGTATGGAAGAAAGAAGGCAAGGTGTGGGACCAGCCGGGCCTCAGGAGCCTTGTCCTCCGGAGCGGAGCAAGCGCAGGGTTGCTTCCCCAGGCTGCGGGGATGGAAGCGACGCCGTGCTGTCACTCGGCCACTTCACCCGGCCTCCTTTCCTCAGTTTCGGCTCCGTCCGCGTCGGTACTTCGTGCGTTCGCCGCCTGGCCGTGGAGAACCCCAACGGGGAGCCTGTCCATGGGGCGGTCTACCGCCCGCCGCCCGCCTCCAAAGGCTTCACGGTGGAGCAGGACTCTTTCCTCCTTCAGGTGCGGTTTTTTTTTTTTTTAAGCAGGGGAAGGCGAGGAGGCGATGTGGTCTAGAAGGGGGCGGCTCAAATGCTAGTGCTGGGGTCGAAGCCGGAGGCGGACGGGGACTAATCAGTCTGGGTATTTTCTGGACGTGAATTTATGCTGCAAACTCTTAACAGGTTATAGGCCCAGCCAGAACCAGAATACACCTAAAGACTAAATTGTAAATAAACTGAGAGAGACTGTGTGTGTTTAAAAGGAGAAATAAGACAGAGAGAAAATCTTTTCAGGATGGCTGAGAAAATTAAGGAGACCTCTCTGCCTCATTTGGGTCAGAAAAATTATATTATTTGAGCTGCAAAGATGGAATGTTTCCTGAAAGCTAAGGAACTGTGGGATATTGTGGAAAACCCACCCCCTTACCTGCTGCAGATCAGAGACAGCATGATAAAGCAATGACTTATATCATCTTAAGTTTACAAGATGAACAGTTTATCAATGTAGCTGATTTAAAGACTGCACAGGAACTCTGGCAGAAATTAAGGACTATGCATGTGAGTGTGTCAGCATGCAATACTGTGCAATGATCAAGAAAGATAATTATAGATAAAGCAATTATACAGAGCCAGTTCGCAACCCGGAGAATCCATTGAGCAGCATCTGGTGAATATGCAAACATTACAGCATCCCTGTGATCATGTGTTCAAAATTCAGATACTTGGCTGATTCATATTTATGACCATTGCTGTGTCCCAAGCTCATGTGATCACCTTTTGTGACCTTCTGACAAGCAAAGTCAACTGGGAAGCCAGATTGACTTAACAACTGGATTACTAAGTTATCAACTACAATGATTCACTGAACAACTGTGGCAAGAAAGATCGTAAAATGGGGCAAAATTCATTTAGCAAATGTCTCACTTAAACAATAGAAATTTTTGGCTCAATTGTGGTCGACAATTATCTGTACTTATATTAGGACTTGTTAAAAGAATTTTCCAGATCCCTTTTCCAAGCCAGGGTAAAAATAAGATGTAAGGTACGCTGCAAGTGGAAAGATTTATTCCCCAAAGCAAAGAGCTTGTTCTTGGTAGGCTTCAGAGAAAATGGGAAACTGGTCCTTGGTGTGGGCTGGCGGGGGGGGCGTGTATATAGGTGCTGATTCTGGTGCTTGACTGTATCAAAATGTCAGTCTTAATTGTCCTCCCTGGTGTCTGTTGTCTTGCCTTTTGCTGTGTCTGGACAGCCTATTTGTGGGTATGGGGAAGTGTGACTTAATAGATTCTTTTGAGTCCGTAGAGATTATTAAAATAAAATACTTTCCACAGACTAATGTTTAACATGAACATGATAATATATAAAAAGTATTGTCTCTGTTTATGTAGTGTGTATTCAGTATGGCTATGCAATTTGGTGTGCCCATTACTTGGATTGATATAGTGCGTGCAATTTTCTTGGCAAGATTTCAGAAGTTTACCATTGCCTTTTCCTAGGCTGAACAAAGTGACTGATCCGAGCTATCTTTGTGCATAGTGCCTAGAATTCATGGTTTCCCAGTCTCTAGCCAAATGGCTTGAACACCCAAACTGGCTTTTATTATACAACTTAACTTGTAATATCAGATATTGGGAGTAAGAGTCAAAAGTAGGTCTACCTACTTTTCTAGCTAGGTTGCAGTACATAGTTTACAATGATGAATCTTCAAAAACTAAGCAGTTTTTGCATGGATAGAAAACTTGCCAGAAAATCTCACTACAAAGAGAGAAAAGTTGGGAAGTTGGAAAAAAATGTGAAGAAGGCAATGTCATAATATCATTTCTGCATGTAATATTGCCAGGAAAACTACTATACATATGGTATTTCTAGGGTCTCCTGCTTGAGCAGGGGGTTGGGCTAGAAGGCCAAGGTCCCTTCCAGCTCTATTCCAATTGATGTTGACATTTTGTATTGAGAAACATTGTGCCATACTCGCAAAATATATAAGCATAATTTTATTCTCATACATTATTTTAAACATAATTTGACTTTATATTTAGGACTACACTATGGAAACCACATTTCTGCTATTTAAAGCTCTTAAGTTTCCAAGCATATTTGGAGATTGCACACAAAGCAAAATTTGACCTACTAGTGATCCTTACTTTTCTGGAGAATGATACAATTAAATATACTCCTGGAATATAACTTTTATCATTCAAAGAAACTAGGTTTATACAAGATTGCACTTGAAACTGAATATATTCTTCAGGTATTTGTCACAGACACTATGCGATCTGCTTGTTTTATGTTTTTCTTTTGCAGCCTGGAGAGAGGATCTATATATTAATAACATGGACACCACTAGAAGGCGGCAAAGTTCGAGAGCTCATAACTTTTATTGTAAATGATGCTGTAAAACATCAAGCAGTTTTGCTGGGGAATGCTGAGCAGCCTATAAAGAAAAAGGTAGGAAGTTCTGTAGGAAACAACCCCCCCAACAAATAAAATATTCTTTATTTTTAATATTAAAAAGAGACAGAATAGAATATTTTCCCTAAAGGAGGACAAACATCTTAAAGGCAGAAATGTCATAGGTCTATGAGCTTTATAATATTTCAAATCTCCACAACACTTATATCTGCTATATATTCTTGTACCTTCTCTGAAATTTTAATATAACTCCCTTGGTTTTTAGCATCTTGAATTTCCCCCAACATTGGATTCAACAAAATGAAAAAATAGCTATTGTAAATATGCAGTAGAGATATGTAAATGATAGCATTAAAATGCTGCAATACTGATGCCAATTTTAAAAATGAGAATCACTGTTCCTTTATATTTATTTACTTATAAATATGTCAGGCAGTATGAGCTTTTAATTTTATAGGGAAATAAGGAAAATTGTCTATGTGTATTTCATGTCATTTCAGAAAAATCTTTGGAATACTATTAAAAGAAGAACTCCTGCCCAGCAATCACGAAAAAGAGTACCAGTCATTAAAAGTATAAATAAAACATTTCAGGTGTCTGAAAAAACAGAGAAAAATAGAAGTCCTCTTCAGTCCTGTGAGAATCTGGAAGTGAATTCAAACAGAATTTCACCTAATGGAAATTCCTTAATCATTTCAGAACATAACATTTCCCTTTCCTCTATTAGTCCCATCAGTCCGAAAAACCAACATGTCATTTATACTCCCCTATCAGCTACATATTCTGTTCCAGAAACACCAGCATGTCATAAGTTATTAAATGTAACAAAAACCCCTATTGTTACAACTCTATATGATAATGTTTTGGAGAAAAAGAAAGTATGCCAACATAATATTAACTCAGCAGAAATAAATGCAAATTCAGTCAATACACCACAACAATTGAATATATCTTTGAATCATAGGAAGATTTTAAGTCCTGATTCTTTTATAAATAATAGTTATGAAGTGACAGAACTTGATGCAGCTACAGCACTACCTATTTCACCTGATCAGTTTTTAAGAGAAAATCGAGTAGTTATACAGCCAATCTCAGAACGTAAAACAGTATCCTATTCTTCAGATGTGAAATCATGTATGTCAACAGCCAAATTTTCAAAACAGAAAGAAAAGGTACAAGTTTCTTTTTTTATGGAACCTCAGCTTTCCACCAAACCTGCCAACAATATAAGTGAAAGAAATCCTGTAACATGTTCCTATGATAAGTTTGAACAAAATGTCAAATCAAAGGCAAGTGATCAAGCTTGCTGCCTTCAGAACAAAAAAAGGCCTTTGCTTTCTAGCACTGTTACCAAAACTAAGCCCCATCCTGAGGGAAAAGAAACAAAGACATTAACACTAAAATCTAAAAAATGTCTTTCTACTGCAATAGAGCATTGTATGGACGTTATCCCTAAAAAAGCAAACCTGGACACATTATCAAGACTTCCAGTTATAGAAAGTGTTTCAAATGAAACTAAATGTATCAAAGATAAAGCCGGGTTCATTTATTTGGAATCATCTCATAACCGTAAAAGAAAAAGCGGAGAATATTTAGAAGATGTTAAGAATGGAAGAGAATATGCAGAAAATTTAGGAAGAAAAAGAACTCTGAAGTCCTGTAATGGAAATGGAAGCAAGAGTGCTTTGAAATTATCAGTTTCCAAATCTCAGAATGGAGATAAGCAAAAGAAGAGATATGGTAATGTAAAAAAAGCATTTAATTTTGAATTGGTATTCTGTTAGAAAAAATGATATTTTATGAAGCTCAGAATGATCCAATATTTTGTTCTCATTCTCTTGTGATTACAAAATAATAGAATAGTTTGTTATATACATTCTTGATCTTTTGCTTTGTTGGAAGTTAAAACCCACCCCTCTCCTAAAGAAATGAAATATTTTAGGATATATTAAAAAGGCAAAATATTTCCCCTAAAAGAGAAGTAGAAATTCAGGCAGAAACTCACCTCCCCACACACCTTTGTTACGTAAAGATTCCCCTAGGACATATGTGCTGGTCATTTTTGGCTCTAGGGGGTGCTGCTCATATCCGTTACAAAGTCAAAGAGCCAGCGCTGTCTGAAAATGTTTCTGTGGTTGTGGCTGGCGCCAAAGGCGCACGGAATGCTGTTACCTTCCCACCAAAGCGGTCCCTATTTTTCTACTTGCATTTTTGCATGCTTTTTAACTGCTAGGTTGGCAGAAGCTAGGGCAGGTAACGGGAGCTCACTCCGTTACGCAGTATTCGGGGTTCAAACTGCCAATCTTTCTGATCGACAAGCTCAGAGTCTTAGCCATTGGGCCACCGCATTCTCGCCTTTGTTAATGGGCCATTAAGGCCTGGGCTAGAGTAGTCTACATGAAGATCTTATCTCCTTCAAGTAGATCCATAATAAGAATTTCCCAAAGCCCTTTCATTACATCATCCAGCAAGGCTCAACCAAGCCTGGGACTCAGGACAGCCTACAGAGTTGCCCCGTATGGCCCCATGGGAGTCTGACAACCAGTCAGAATACAAGCTCAAATTAAAATCCCAACAGTACTGGTGGGATTCAAACTTTTTAACTACCAGTTTTGTGGGCGTGGCTTGGTCGTAGCAAGGGAAGGATACTATAAAATCTCCAGTCAGAGGTGGTATTTGCTGGTTCTTTACTCAAAATTTCCGCTACCAGAACTGGTCAGAACCTGCTGAATACCACCTCTGCAACAGAGGGCATAAAACCAAGGGACTCGGCATTTCTTCCCTTTTCACCCAGGAGCTCCCAGACATATGATCCTGTCTACCATTAAACTATATTTCCAAACAGTCGCCGTGTTTCCAGTCTCTTTCTTCCCCACTTGGAACTGAATCCAGAGGGATATTTCTTTCTACAGTTTCAATTTTACATTTAGGATGTTAGAAATTTATTTTTATTTTTTTCCAGGTTCTTCATCTCAAAAATCAAAGAATTTTAAAAGGACAAAAAATATTGTTCCTGTTGCACAGTCTCAACTGACTTTTGTGAAGCCTTTAAAAACAGGTAAATATAAGCTGGCATTTTGCTCTTTGAAAGAAAGAGGTTTTTAAAAAAATACCATTTGAAATAATTTTGGCAAAGTATTTAAAATACATTGGGTGAAATAGTAAAAACAGCAAAAGTTAGTAGAATTATATGGTTTGCATTCTTTTCATTTTCATACCACGCATATGTTATCGGTGTTAAAGCAGCCATGTGATTTGAAAGGCTTGTACTGCTCTTTTGAAAGCTTGTCTCCACAACTTTTTGTGCATTACATTTGATTGTAGCCAAAAGGCCAAGAAGCAATCTGCATGCAGACCTGCCTCATCTTATTGGCGGTTATAACTGTTTTTTTTGTGAATGTACATTCATATTCAAATAACTGGAACAACCTTCAAAATAGTCACGCTAAATAGAAGAGCCAGTTACAATGTAAAGGTTATGCACTTTAAGAAATATCCATTGTCCATCACTTCCTAGTCTCCATTTGCAGTTAGAAATGGAGCTTTGATATATTGATAAGGATTTCAGTGTTTCAGCAAAAACAATAATATAACTTTTAATTATTTTAAAAGATATTCCTAGACATCCAATGCCTTTTGCAGCAAAGAATATGTTTTACGATGAGCAATGGAAAGAAAAACAACAACGAGGTTTTACATGGTGGTTGAATTTTGTACTTACTCCTGATGATTTTACTCTGAAAACAGACATTTCACAAGGTAAAGTTGATCAATGGCACCGTAATATTTCAAGGGTTAAGTAAGAGTAGTTGCAAAATATAAGAATTGTTCCGAGTTCCAGAAATTAGCTGTGTGTATATGCATTAAAAAATTTCATTACAATTCTTTCATGCATCATCACATTTATTACAAACAGCTAGAAATATGGTTGTGTTGGACCTGCTACTATTATCTGAAGTCAACCTAGCAATCGGATTACAAGATCTTTTCTCTTGGTTGTTGGACTTGATTAGGATTTGGTGTCAGTGTGCTCAGCAAGTTTCAGCCATCTGGCTGTCCTTTTAATGACAATTCTATGATTTTTAAGTTGAGATAGTCTAAGTTTTAAACGCATACAACCATTTTCTCTTTATTAGTTAATGCAGCATGTCTCATCCTGGGAACAGAGACTTATAAAACCAGTGTTCCTAAAGCACCAACAAAAGAAGAAGCATCATTAAGAGCATATACAACTCGATGCAAATTAAACAGACTTCGTAGGTCAGCTTGCCGCTTGTTTACCTGTGATGAAATGGTGAAAGCAATAAAAAGGCTGGAGATTGAAATTGAAGCAAACCGTTTGCTAGTTCGAAAAGACAGACATCTGTGGAAGGATATTGGTAAGAATATGGTTGTGTTTTAGAGCAGGGGTCCCCAATCCCTGGTCCATGGACTGGCACTTGTCTGCAGCATGCCAGCAACCAGGCTGCTTAAACAAGTGAAGCTCCATCCATGGGATACAGGCAGCATGCAAAACCATACTCCCTCTGGTCCACAGAAAAATCTTCATGGAACTGATCCCTAGTGTCCCAAAGGTTGGGGACTTCTGTTTTAGAGGTTTTTTTGTTTTTTTTTTGACAACTTAAGAAAATTGATGAATAAATTGATCATGTCTCTACTACTAATGTGATCAATATCTTTCTGTAATATTATTCAGAAATTCTTTTACTACATAACACTTTTGTGCCTGTCTTTCAGGAGAACGACAGAAAATCCTCAACTGGCTTTTATGTTACAATCCACTGTGGTTGCGCATAGGTCTGGAAGTGAGTTTGTACTTTTTAATGACTATTCTGTAAGCAATATGCTATTTTGTAAAGTCTAATAATTGTTGTGTTACAAGGAAATGTTGAAGATCAGGATAAAATATTCTTTAATACAAAATTCTTCTGCTTGAGAACATAATGCTTAATATGAATAGGTATCAGTGGCCAAAACAAGTGCAGTATTTTGTGGCTCATTAAGCTGATTTTCAGTGATGAGAACAGCTGCATTAACATAATTTAATATTGTTTTTTTCCTTTCCCATACATTGTTCTATTGCTTGCTAAAATACTCTGTGAGGATAATCTTATAGCAATGCAGACTCAGTGAAATTAATGATATGTTCATGTACCAAGTTTTGAATGTCATCCTATTACTACAATAGTTTTATTTATAAGTTTGAATTATTTTCACCCTTTTCTTTTTGTCAGACAATCTTTGGCGAACTGATTGCTTTGGAAAGTAACAGTGATGTGATGGGTTTGGCAGTGTTTATACTAAATCGCTTGTTGTGGAACCCAGATATAGCAGCTGAATATCGACACCCAACTGTGCCTCACTTTTATCGAGATGGTAAAGTTTTTCTTTGCTATTACGTAATAGTATTTCAAAATTGAGAGCAAGCTTGGTATAGTGCAGAGGTCAGCAACCCGTGGCTCTGGAGCCACATGTGGCTCTTTCATCCCTATGTTGCGGCTCCCTGCCGCTCAAAATACGTGTCACAACCACCAATGTGTGTGACACCCATTGGCACACAATTTATTGGGCTTTTTGACTCCCAGAAGGCCAACCATGGGTAAATCCAAGAAGAGTTTCAGAAGAAAACATAATGTTTAATTCAACTACATATGCTAGTTTTGTGGCCGCTCAGGAGATAGTCAGGCATGGGGAGGGTTTTGTGGCTCCCAGTGTTTTCTTTTCTGTGGGAAACTTGTTCCAATGGCTCTTTGAGTGTTTAAGGTTGCTGACCCCTGGTATAATGGTTAATAGCACCAGGCTAGAAACTGGAAGATTATGAGTTTTAAGTGCTGCCTTAGTCATGAGCCAGGTGTCCTTGAGCATCCTCTCTATCCTAAGAAGGAGGAAATGGCAAACATTTCCAAAAAATGTTTTTTAAAAAATCCATGTAGGAATTCAGATTGACTAAAAAGAACAAAGGTTAAAAAAATAGTTACAAGAAGCATCTCTGTGTAAAATATTGCATTTATAGGTCATGAAGAAGCATTGTCCAAATTTACACTGAAAAAACTACTACTACTGGTTTGCTTCCTGGATCGTGCCAAAGTGTCTCGAATTATTGAACATGACCCTTGCTTATTCTTCAAAAATGCAGAATTTAAGGTATTCTCACTTGAACTTATCTTGAATCATGTTTGCCTATAATCTGTATGTATTTGTGTGTTTCAAAGACACAAGTCATATTTATTTATTTAGAATATATATTTTAAAATAATAGATATCAGGTTCAATATTTTTTTCAGAGCTGATCAGAATTTAATCAGCAATTAGTTTATTACAAGTTTTTGATCTGCATAATATGTAACTGGCAGTTTCATTAATGATTGTAATTAATATCCATAATATTAAAAACAAAGTATACAGCTAGCTGTAATATTATAGTTCAGTGACTAAAAACTCATTAATTACATCGGATAATATCTCTATTGTATATGTGTACTGATTCCCCCCTCCCTTTTTTTCCCCTAGTCTAGTAAAGAAATATTACTAGCATTTTCCCGGGACTTTTTAAGTGGAGAAGGTGATCTTTCACGTCATCTTGGCTTCTTGGGTTTCCCTGTTAATCACATACAGACTCCATTGGATGAATTTGATTTTGCTGTTACAAATTTAGCTACAGACTTACAATGTGGCATTCGTCTTGTGTAAGTTTTTGCTGAATGTTGTCATTAAAGTTACAAAAATATGTTGCATGAAGAAATTAATTACTTTATAATATGAAATATTAATGTATTTAAGGAGAACTTTAGAATTGCTGTCATCAGATTGGACTCTTTCCAAAAAGTTAAGAGTGCCCGCAATCAGCAGACTTCAGAAGATGTATAATGTTAAGCTTGCTTTTGAGATATTGAACAATCATGGAATTCAGTTGAAAGATGAACATGGTAAGTACTAGAAAGTAATGTGGAGGTGGTACCCTACAAGTCTGTTGACTTTGCTTTTCATTAATCTGTTTAATTTGTTTATAGGTTCAACCATTGACACAAAGGATATTGTAGATCGACATAGAGAGAAAACATTTGCTTTGTTATGGAAAATAGTGTTTGCTTTTCAGGTACTGAATAAACATTGGTTTAATTGATCTTTAGAGCATAAAATAAAAAAGTGTATTCTCTGTCTTCAGAATTTCAGCAAACAATGGTCTGTGCATGAAACTTAGTATGGTATACTTCAGGTTCATGCATAAAATTCAAAATAGTTGGCAGCACCGATGAGGGTACATTTATTTACATTTGGAGGGCTTTCATGAAAAGCTTTCATACAAAGTAGCAGCTATAGATATTAAGATTTGAAACCTTTAAAATACACAGAGAAATTATCAAGAAATTGAGTGCTATCATTATTTAGACATTAAGTTTCAACATGATTTTTCAGCACTGTGTAACTTTTTACAGCAGCCATGTCTGACCATACGGCAATTGTGAAAAGTAGCTGCATAATTCCAAGAAAAAAAAACAGTTGCTTTAAAGCATTACAAGTAGAGTTTACAGTAGTGCTTTTGCATATTTTGGAGCATCTTTTTAGAATTGAGAGCAAAGCACTGCAGAATCCTAATTGGTTTATTTCAAATAATGTAGGCTTACACATATAATACTGGTTTCCTAGATTAATACATTATTTTTCACAGTCTCTGAATTATTAGAACTTTCTGTAAGCTCTTTTAACCTGAACAAAATAAACATTTTTGAAAATGTGTACTATCCAAAACCCTTTACTTGTTGCTATTTTAATTTTGATAATTTGTCTTAGCAACTTGTTAAGAGTTGGTGTGTTTTAAGATCCTAAATCTCAGAATGATGAATAAAATCATGTTTGGATCTTATTTAGGTGAACATTTCTCTTGACATGGATCAGTTAAAAGCAGAAATTGCTTTCTTAAAAAACATGCAAGTTACAAAATTAAAAAGACATGATGTGGAATGTGTTAACCGCATGGGAAATGACACCAGTAGGTCTTATTCATATGAAAGCTATGGTGAAAATGTAAAACTGCTGATGGACTGGGTGAATGTTGTCTGTGGATTTTACAATATTAAGGTAAATATTTCCTTAAACAATTTCACAAAGCACACTGTTCTGAGTATGATAAGTATTAAACTTAATCAAAAGTAATAAAAGTGAATTGAAATGTTGAGAGAAGTGTATTTATGTTTTGATTATATATTTGTTATATGGATTATTACTGCTGTAAAAACTAAAATAGTAAAGTAAGAGTTGATTATGATAATAAATTAATTGTAACTGTATAGCATTTGCTAATGTCTTGTCTCTTCTTGGTACACTTCGTTGATGCTAAATGGCATCATGTAAATAGTTGCTTGCTAGTGGATGGAAGATAATGGTGCAAACCTATGGCACAAAAAAAGGTATAAATATAATGGCCTGGCAGTACAATTGGGCTTAAAGTATAAAATAATACTATATGTTATTCAAAAATATATTCCATATTGTTAGATTAAATTTGTACATTACTTCGGTTAAGATATTGTGTG